TCTCATATAACAAATCATATTACATTAAGTTGCCATGTCTCCCAAGCCTCCTCCTCACTGTGACAATTTCTCAGAGTTTTTTTATGACCTTGAGAATTTCAAGGAGTACTAGTTAAGTACTTTGTGGACTGTTCTTTGGCTAGGATTTGTCTAATTCTTTTCTCATAATCAGAGTGAGTTAATGTGTTTTGGGAGGAAGACCACAGAGATGAAGTATCATTCTCATCACATCATATTAAGACCACATATTACCAATATGATGTTATCCTGGATTACCTGGTTGAGGTAGTATTTGTCAGGTCCCTCCACTGAAAGGTTACTCCTTTTCCCCCTTTACACACTGTACTCTTCAGAAGAAAGTTATTGTGGGCAGCCCACGCTTAAGGATGGGAGAATTATTGTCCACCTCCTTAAAGGCAAAGTAGCTCCATAAGTTATTTTAAATTCTTCTACATGAGAAATTTGTCTATTCTCTACCCAATTTATTTTATCATTTATTTGTATCAGTGTAGACTGATGGATTTTTTTTATTCTTTGATTTATAATGCAATATTCAGCTGGTTCCCATATCTCTTTGACATACTGCCATCATTGTGGGGTGGCTGTTGATTTTTGGTTTATTGTTTCTTTATTTGAGTTCTTTTGTCTGTTTTATTTTTGTTTTTGTTTTATTTTCTAGCCCTGCAAGATACTCTAGGTTGATCTTGTATGTTTCTTGCACAGTCCTAGAATCAACGTTTGGAGCACTTCTCCATGGAGTTCTGATTCCTTTTATTAAAAAGGGATTTTTCTTTTTACATATTAGGAAATACCCCTAAAGATGAATAAATCAAAGAACAAGACAAGTTCATGATAATGAGTATACAACAAAAAATATTTTATATTTGCAAAATGCATTCGAATTTTCAAGTACCTAGGAATTCATTTGAGCCTCAGAGATACCCTAAGAGGCAAGCAGGATTAACAGTATTACTCCACTTTGCCAATGAAGAAACCGAGGCCTTAAGTCTTCCGTGATTGCCCAAGATCACAGAGTAAGAGACTAGCAAGTCCCAAGCAAATGTCCAGATTTTCTAGTTTATAAATCAGTGCTATAGTGTCATTCCAAAATATACAAGTGAAGATGTATAGATGCCTAAAGGATGTGGCCAAACTTCTATTTGGTATTGCCATCAAGTTTTTCAGAAAATTGGAAATATTCAAAGAAAATTCTTAACCCTTGATTTCATAGAAAACATAATACTTTCCTCAATAAACTCGCTGGTCAGTAACAAAATACTGAACTGTCTGGAACAGATTATTTATTGGAGTGATTTATTATGTCATTCAATGAATAATTTCAGTAGAAGACTTCACTTCTCATAAAGCAGTGGAACCCTTTGTACTATACTTTTAATTAAGCACCACAAGTTTTCACCACCCAACAGCCAAGAAAATCAGCTTCTAAATCAAAACTCAAATATCTGTCAATTTCAGCACTTATTTTATTTATTTATTTATTTATTTATTTATTTATTTATTTAATTGTGTGTGTGTGTTAAAAACATCTACATAAAAAACCAGTAGGAGAATTAATGTGGATGTGAATTTGAAATCTTGAATATAATGACCTTATTAGCCAGAAATTTGTAAAATCAACTGCCCTGAGTCCCAGGGAATGAAATAGATTGTCTCTACCCAATGTGAGAGTGAAAGCAAGACCTATAGGAGGAGAATCATTAAAAAAAAGTAAGTTGTTGTATTTCTTTGTCAATTCTATAAAGTAAATAAAATTACTACCAGAAGTGAAACATAAAAACTACCCAAATATGTTGTGAACCTCAAAGAGCTACGTCAATACTTTATAAAATTTCTGTTTCCATTTAAAACTCAAACCAAGTTATATAGTTATTTCCTCCTTGGTACTCCCAGACTTCTTTGTCTATGCCTACATTAAAGCAAATTTTAAAGTAACTGTACTTGCTTATTCACATGTCAGTCCTTATCCCCAGACTATGCTTTCCTAGAAAAATACTATGGCAGGCACTTCAAAAATGAATCTAGAATAAGTGGATTCTTTACCACTACCTCATCACAGTGTCAAGCTTTCCTAATTAGCTCAACCCAAATTAATGACCTTCTCTTCTCAACAACTATAGTAGTTATGGTGGAAATACTCCTCTGATATTCATTATGTAGCACTTCATAATTTATTTTATGTATTTTATTTCTCCATTGGATTATAAGTTCCTTTAGGATTACAATTTGAAGTTGTAGGCTTTTTATTTTTAAAATAAAGATGATCAAAATAAAGATGATCACCTCTCTTCCTTATCTGTAAAATAAAGATGATTATATCCTGCAAGTCTATCACAAGATAATGCACGTGAAATCATATAGCACAGTAACTGACATAAAGAAAATGATCATTAGCTTTCATTTCCTCTCCATTTTTATTATTTTGTATTCCTCGTAGCTCCTATTACAATGCCTTGCACATAGCGGGTGCTCGATAAATGCCTGTGGATGCCTTGTGAGTGCTGAAAGTTTGAGGAAAAAGAGTTAATGTAGACCAAAGACTAAAAACCAAAGTCTAGGAATCAGTGGTTAACTTGAAGAAACAGGAGCTCTGTTCTTCACATTGGCTCCAGCGAATGTATATTGTGTTATTACCATCATGCAAAAAGTTTCAAAACAAATTATTAACACAAATAGTATTATGGTGCCTTACAGATCACCAGAAAGACAGCTAGCACTTTCAATAGCAGATGTTAAGGGTGAAAAGCTGGATTTCTGCCCAAACAGAAATGGAAGTTCTGCTTTTACTCAAGGTTAGAATGGTTAGGGTCATTAAGTAAAGTTTGGATTTTATTTGACAAGCAAAGATGACAATAGATACTTTCAGAACCATCCACCGATCAATAAGCTGCAAAATGCCAACATTATATACTATAGCATGTAATACAGCTGGCTGTCTTCACTTCCTCTCCTCATTGTCTTCCCCATAGGGTAAAGCCTTCTTGCTCGGTAGTTTTTGATGGGGATTCTACCACTGGAGAAAATAGTGGGTCTGGATGGGAAATTAAGTTTTCATAACAATAACTAAGGAATCACAATCGAATTTACTCCATCAGTATATTACAACTTCATATTCCCCTAAACCTACTGTAAATAAATAATATGATTTTAAAACTCTCATACATATGGCAATCTCTGAAAAACTAGGCTATCTGTTTCTAAAAAAATCTGAAAGGGACTGATAAGGCTTAAGATTAAAAAAAAAGTTTGAGTACCAGTAGGAGAATTAATGTGGAGGTGAATTGTTTGGATGATACCAAAAGAAGAGAAATAATGAAGAGGAAAGGTGGTATCAGGGGAGAAAAGTTAAAATGAAAGCAAACACACCGAGTCTGTGAGATGTATTTAAATCTCAGAACCAAACTAGCTATCTAGGGAAGGCTGCTTTTCATCTTCCGAGTTGACACAGCCTTTTGAAACCTCTGTGACTTTGACCTTTCATTATTGCCCAACACAGTCACCTCCCTTCACCCCTCACCCCAGCCTCTCAGCTGAGGTGCCAGAGAAGACGCCCTCGGTCATTCTGCAATAGCATGAGGCTTTTGCTGCTTTTACTTCAAAACTGGCCAGATTGGGAGATGTGAGTCTTGCAAGAAAAGAATTTTCTCTCAGTGCCAGCGTTTTTGGTGAGAGATGTAATACATCAAAGTGGAGAAGAGATGCAATCATGCAGGGAATGATTTCAAAAACTTTAATGAACCGTTTAAAATAAACTCATTTGAAGGTAATTTAACAACACCACTTTTACAATTAAAAATACTATTTTAGCATGCAAATGCAGAACATTAGTCCCATGTCAGGTTGGAAAATGAAGTGAAACTGAGGGGCTTTTGAAACATGAATGCCATCTCCGTAATTTCTCATCACTCCATGGCGCTCTTAGGCAGCCTAATGAAAGAATGAATTGATTTAAACAACATTTTGTTGGAGCAATGGGGTTTGAGGAATTAAATTAACTTGACGGTTGGTTCTAAGAGCCAGGCCCAGAATTGGCATTATATTGTTACTAAAATTAATTCTATCTTCCCCTAAGTTTTATTTGGGTATTTTTTTCTATTTATTTCTAAAATACCAACCAAGGGTTTCAACGATTAACATAATATTTCATCAGTACTCTTTGATGTATTAACATTTGCTTAAAGATGTATATTAAGGCAAAATTAAACTCTCTGGGAAAACAAATTGGAGTCCAACTGCTGCCCCTAGGAATTACAGCAGCAGCAGAGTCTTCCTTGGAAGGGTAATAAGAGTAACAAGCTGGAATGCAGACTAAGCCAAGACAGAAATTCTCAGTCTTTTTCTTCACCTCAAAACAGCTGACAAATCACATTCACATAACAGCACATCCATGGCTGCACCAGCTTACAGATTTCAGCACTCCCAAGACAGGTTGCAGGCTGTGGGCAATTCCCAATGCACTGGCTAAAATGTACAAGTTTTTCTCCCACTCAAGGAAGTCTATTAAAATGCTAGTAAGTGAAAATGACATTACTATAGAGATAATCTTATGTAAGCTCAAATTTTTTAAAGTAGGTCATAAATTTTGTACCTTAACTGTTACAAAAAAGAAAACAGTTTTAAAAATAATAGGGATAACATGTACAGGCCAATGTCTATATATGCCAATAAGGTGATACCTTACGGATATGCACATTTTTTTGCTACAAAGTGTTGCTCTCTTTACAAGTTTAACCCTAGTTTTTAAATACTAACCTCAAAAGATAATACTAAAATTACATGCTCTTCTAATTGTAACAATATATAATTAGTAGTAATTTTTACTATGTTTCAGCTGTATTGGGTGGTATGTTCCAGATACATAATCTACATTCCCTGTATTAATTCCCATGTAAACTCTCCAAGATAATATTGTATTCTCCCCATTTCAGGGAGAAACAAACTAGGGTTCAGACTTGCCCAAGATTTCACAGGTGGTAAATGGTAGAACTAGAATTTGATCAAAGTCTGTGCTTCACTGTGACCTGGTAGTCACTTGTTGCCAATGTCCATGGCTCTGTGAAAGAAAAACAAATAGACATGAATATGGTGCTTTCATTTTTTTTTTCCTCTTATAAAAGACCTCTTGCATCTTCAGGAGCATTGCTCTCTTGCAAAAAGCTCTCTTGGGAGTCTGTATAAATATTCCCCTCAGGAAGTGCTCGCTCAATACTTGCTTCTTTAAAGAAAAACTTCAAATCCAATTTACAAGTCACCTGAGAAAATGTGTCTCATTTCCTCCCAGTCTTTCCACGATCATACAAATGTAATTTTAAATGCTATCTCCATCTTGTTCCTCCACGTAATCTCTGTAGACATTTTTTAAAGAGGACTTACAACATGTTTTTAGCAAAGACAGCATCTCCAAAAACAAGCACATAACATTCTGAAGAGACTATTTTGAAGGGCACAACAGATGTTCAAAATTTTAAATTCTAATATATCTATTTTTTATAGTTTTTACTTTTAGAGTAGTTTTAGGTTTATAGAAATATTGAGCAGAAGGTACAGAAAATTCTCATATACAACCTTTCCCTAACACAGCTTCCCCATTAACATCTGCTTTAGTGTACTGCATGTGTTATATGAACCAACACTGACACATTATTACTATCCAAAGTCCACAATTTACATTAGGGTTCACTCTTTGGGTTATACAGTTCTATGGGTTTTGCCAATTGCATAATGTCATGCATCCACCATTAAAGGATCACACAGGATACTTTCAACGCCCTGAAAAGTCTCTGTGCTCCAACTATTTGTCCCTCCTTTCCAACCCCTGAGCCCCAGGCAATCACTGATAGCTTTATTGCCTCCAACATTTTTGCTTTTCCCAGAACGTCATATCGTTGGAATCATACAGTATACAGCCTTTTCAGACTGGCTTCTTTCACTTAGCAATACGCATTTAAGTTTCCTTCATATCTTTTTGTAGCTTCAGTGTATCTATTTTTATTTTAGCAACATGTTAAAAGAAGAAATACAAAAACGTGTCTCCTCCATCTTACATCTACATTTTTTTTAAAGTGCTTAGGGGAAAATAAGGGAAGGTAATTGGCTACAATACATTAGAATAGTGGGATTATGGTACATAGTTTCTTTCCCCTAATTTCTAGCTTGCAGATTTTGAATTTTTATTGAGCTGTTTCTGAAAATATGGTTCAAAAAATCAAAAAAGAAACAATCATGTCTCTTTGTTGTTCTTTTCCACTTATTCGTCATTCCAGCTATATGTTTTTCTCTCCCCTCCCATTTTCCCCATGTCTGGTCTTTTTGAGCCGAGTAAAAATTTTCTGCATCTTTTACCTGAGAGAGAGGGAAAGATAAGAAGGGGAAGAAAACAAAAAGTCAAAGGAAAGAAACACATTTAGGAAGAGTCAACAACAATATATTTTAGATAAGCCCATGAGTATTCATGGCCCCCTTGTGGATTAATAAACAGTTAGCGCCAAAGAATACCAGCTTCATGGTAATGAATCAAACAGAACCTAATCCTGCTGGGCAGCCTCTCCTATTCCAGGAAAATCACACCTCTCAGCCCAAATCAGGTAAAGCCTAGTTCTCATTACAGCTATGGCGTGTTGAGCCCTCTCTTCATTGCAAATTCTGTGCTAATTATTCTGCACGCATTACCTTATCCAAATCCCACAGCAATCCTGTGTGACAATTTAATAGATAAGAAAACTTAGGATTAAAGAGGTTGAAGAAGTTAAAAAGCTGGATTCAAACCCAGATCTGAGTCAAAAATCTCTCATATCCACTAAATACTGTCACCAGTAACGATATGAAAAAAAATCAATGCTTCCCTCATATAATCATTCCTGTCCCAATTTTATTTGCTTCCTCTGTAACCAAGAGCTTTCACGGAGGAAAAAAGGAAGGGTGTCTAGGCCAAAGACCATCATTTAGAACCTGTGCAGTCTTCCCATATTAAATGGAAGAATTAAGTAATTTATGTCTTTTTAAAGCTATTGAATGAATATCCTTTAGATCCAAGGTTCCCTGACTGGTGCAGCCTGAAGAATTTTGAAGACAATCAAACCTAAATTCATCTTCCAACTCCAACCTTCCACTTCCTGTTTGACTGCTCTTATCTTCAATTGCTTCATTTATAAATTGGGGATTAAGTAAAGGGATTGCTGACTAAAAACCTACTCAACCAGTCATTCAACTTAGAAATGTGATGAAGCAGAGATAGAGATATGAGGCTTAGAACATTTGGCCCTGAGTGGCATCCCTGCTTCCTGATTCCACCACCTGGAATCAGGTTACACGTGGTGGAGTTACACCAGGTGGAGCAACCTTGGGCAAATTTCTTAATCTCTGTGTCTATTGCCTTATCTATAAAATGGGGCCTGACCCATTAGAGTGCCTGACCCTGGAGGTTGTTAGGAGGATTAAAATGGGTAACAATATGTAAAACAATAGGGCAATGCCTGTCTTACAGTCAGAATAAGAAGTTAGTATTCCTCGGGTTCATCTTAATAAGGCTATTTCACCAAAGACTGAGAATGTGGGCAGAGAGTCAATAATCAATATGTGAATAACTCAGAGGCTGTTTATGTGATATGAGTGACAGTCATTCTATTAAAATGCTGCATAGAAGCAAGGACAAGAGAGTTGCAGACAGTAACCAGGCATGTTAGAGTGAGAAAGGTCAAGGTCATACTGAAGAAGAGACATGTGACCCACAGTGCACGCACACTGCATATGCCTGTCATACCAAACTCCTCTTAATGTCAATAGGGACGGTACCAGGTTCAAGAAGAAAAAAAAAAAAAGACCTGGAGCTAGCAAATGCAATGGAGTTTTATTAGGAGGAAATACACACAGGGACAGTCCAGTGGCAGCAGGCTGGGCAGGAGAACTGTAACTGTTTGCAAACAGCATGCAGTTTATATAGCATTTTCACTAGCACACTCCCCCTGACAACTTCTACCTGGCAAACTTCACTTAACCCCAAACACAGGGCCTCAATCCCCTGTACAGCCTGTGTTCAACAGGATTGGACAGGGATGCTCAGATGTTCCTCATAGACAAGGAACAAATTTCCAGGTTGGCTACTCCTGGATTCCTTAGCTTGGAACTCCAAACACACATTGGAGTGTGCCTGCCATACAGGGTCACTCTCAGGGTGTGCTTAGTTAAGCTATTGCTGTCAGGTGAGGCTGCCATACACTCCACCCCAGCATACCTTTGAGTGGCCCCCACATTCTTATCATGCCATTCTTCCATGATTTCCCTGGGGCCAGGTATATGGAGGAGCGCTATGGACATACTAATCATAACATCAAAAAAATAAAAAATAAATAAAATAAGGATAATTTGTAAGACTGAAAAGGCTCCAGGTACTCAAGTTAGCTGCTTGGATGTACCACAGAAGGGCCGTGGTAGCACAGGAGGAGAGGGACAGTTCTTAAGAGTCCCAACAGTCTGTTTTGTTTCAGAGAGAGGCCAATATCTGCTCCCAGTTGTCAAACGGGTTTGCTGCACACCATCTATGGGCAGAAGGTGAGGTACTTAATAGGTACAAGAAAGGACAAGTCATGGGGACTTACGACAAAGGAAGTTGTGTCCTTCTGAGAGAGCACCACTCTAGCAATGGCCTGGTGCCTGGTTTACAATACTGAATGTATTGGCCACCCTCAGTGGTGTATTGTGGGAGGCCAGAGTAAGACAATGGAGGTAACATAATTGTCCATAATGAGAGGATGATAGTCCCATTGCACAGGGAAGACCAATTTTCATTATTTTAGAATTACAAGGGGGAGCAGTGTGTAAAATAGGTGTGACCTGTATATCCTGTTCTAGGTCCTTCCCCCATGGAGGAAAACAACTGAACCATGGGGGACTGGTTTGCCATTTCCAGGGCCACATTGTGATGTGTTCCCTTGTGGCTAAGTCCTGTGGCAAGAACAATAGCAGTTTACCTTGAATCTCCAGTTGAGGCAAAGATGTACTGTCCACTGCACTGTCCACCTGAACCCTGACGATGGTGTCAGGTCCTTGCATCAGGACAGTGTACGCACAGAAGCGATGAGAACGCACATGATCATTCAGAGTGCAGGTGGCTGATGGTAAGCAGCAGCTCCTGCCAGAGTTGTTGCTTCAACAGCTCATTCAACTGTTCAGTCAGCCCTGCTGCTGTAGGGTTGTTTGGCAGGTAGAAATGCCAGTGGATATCCAGGGCCTCCACCCACCCCTGCACTTTATGTCCAGTAAAGTGCAAGCCCTGGTCACTGTTGATATCAGCAGGGATGCAACAGGCTACACACAGCTGCTCTAGTTCTTTTATGATGGTTTTCTGCATAGCACTTTTGCTGGGATATGCCTGCAGCAGCCCTGTGCAGGTGTCTGCACAAGTCAAGGCAAAGTGGCAGCCATCGGATAGAGAAAAAAAGTCCTATGTAGTTACCTGCTATCACGGGCTCTAACCCCGGGCGATGGGTCCAGTATCATGTGGCAAGGGCCTGGAGCATTCCTGTGCTTCTCGTTGTAGCAGCCACATGCTAAGTCCCTTGAAGATGGCCCAGCTACCAGTGCACAGGACTCTTGGGTCCAGCTCATGGAGGAAGATCATCCAGGTGGCCCATAGCTCGCCCCATTGGCTACTATGTCCTTTGCCTGTATCAAGCCAGGAACCATCAGTGGACGGCTGGATGGCCACAGATGTCTAAGCGTAAGAACTGCCTCACCACGAGCCATGTATGTACCAGGACTAGTCATGAATTGGACTTTGTCCCTCCTGTATAAAGGAGGGAATCCCTGAGGTTCAGTAGCCTCCATCAAAGACTGTCCTTCAGTTCTCACATAGTGACAGGACCAAGCACCAATTGGAGCTCCGCACTCAAGGTGTAATTAGTTAATGTACTCCTCTATTGCAAATATGTATGTCATTTGGCCACAGTTTTTGTCTGGCATTCCCAGACTTTGGAGGTATCCTTTAGCCAACCTGCTATGAGGTGCTGGGTGCATATTAGCATCCCCTTTGCAATGCCCTGCATTTGTTGTAAGGCA